CATTTAAATTCGATATCGTCCTTTCCCAAGTGCAGATATGAATCTTCTTACTTTTGCATTGTTGTAAAATAAAGATTGAACTGAAATGCTTACAAAGGGTTATTCACTGATTAACATGTCAAATTATCCGGCGGACCTCTTTGATGTGTTCACTCAATGTACACATGGAAAATATGAATCAAAATCGATATTGCTTTATACTCCACATATCGAACAGATGTGAAGCATATGTAGTGTACATTGCTTTGACTATATTTACAGACTTGCAATGTGTTAACAAGATACAAAGTCTGTTCTGAAGTGTGACGCTTCTTGAAGGCTAAGCCTGATCATTTTGTGATGCTAAACCTTGGGAAAACTTAAAAGAAAATGCTCGAAGCGTTTATGCAGTGCTCATGTATGCAGCGTAGCCTGGGGTTAGAGCCTTTCCTGGGTAATGATCAGTGAAATCCTAACATCATCTAACGCTAAGTGATGCAAAAATGTAAGAAAATTCGATATGTTGAATTTTTTGTTTTCACATATGGGAACACTAATTCCTTGACAGCTACAAGTATTGATCATAGGACATAGTGCAATGACAGCTGATGGAACGCACCTGCTGCACTCTCAATATCCAAATATTACCACAAGTGTACAGCATGTCCTGTACAGCATATCCTGTACAGCCATCATGTGAGACTCTGAGTGTACTCTGTGCGATGATCCATGATATTGCCAAGTGGAGTATGTGAAGAGAACAAAGAAATTGGTTCTTGCATTGAGCCCTGAGAGACCCCAAAGGTAATATCTGCTGAACAAGATCTATTGTAATAAGGTCAATAAAAAAAGCAAACACTCACTCAAATCTAGTTTAACATACTGTGGTCGGAGCTGTGTCCTCAAAATAGGAGAAATTGTTTCTCAAAGGCAGGGGCCAGTTAGAGACTTTCAATAGTGCAATATTATTAAATTAGTAAAACTGTGATCAGACTCATGTTTAAAGCCATTTCTCTACAATATATTCGGCCTTTATTTAGTGTACTAAATGCCAAATACATTTCTTTTATTCGGAAAGAATATCTACCATCTACAATTTTGTAACCTGACAGCCATGGATGGATAATAAACAATTGCCCCTTACGATTTAAATGGCTACCACCCCAGCTACATAGAAATACGACTTCCAGACTTGTTTTAAAAATATATATTTTGACATGTTAAGTGGTCATTTCATTTTCTGTTTGTGGCTATTCTGCATTACTTTCTGGTCATTCTGTCGATATTTTGCATGTGTTTGTGGTTGTTTTGCTTCCATTTCTAGATGTTTAAATACTCCTTTAAATCATTTTGTTTCTCTTTTTGCATCTCTTTGTGTGTTTCGCTCAATTTAACTCAGCGTTTTGAGTTGTTTATTGGACTGCCTAATGTTAACATGTTACTTCATAGAGAAAGTTCCAGGGCCCTCCTTATTCAAGCATATAAAACACTGACTGATACATCTAAGTATTTCTTCCCCCAAGATAAACAGAGATATTAATGACTTGCAAGGAAAAATAGTAAATCAAGAAACTACATTTTTCCAATGTACACCTCTGGGTGTGCAATACATCGTTTTTTTTCTTCTCCTCACTCTTCTATTGACCTGCATTGTAGAGTCCAGGTGAGCTATGTAATCAAAGGAAACATATATATTTTCTATTCAGTTGGCCACATGTCATCCAGAGTAGGAATGATAAATGTTTGTAGGCTTATAAATCAATCACGCCGGAATTTCAGTGCAGTTAATATGAAATGGTAAATATAATAAAGTTTTGAAAGCTATATAATGTAAGCTACCTAGTTTGTGAGTGTGTGAATGACTTGAAAATGGTACAAGCCCCTTAATCAGAATAGCCGGGTGAGAAGTTTATATATAACAAATGTTGAATATGGTCTCTGCCACAGTTATGACCTGACTTGGAAAAGTTGTTACTTGACATACTGTAACGCTCTTGAAGTTTGAGCTGTGTGGACTCAAAAATAGGCTACCACTCGAGGGGTGAAACATTTGTCAGATATTGACAGAGAACATAACACCAACATAACACCAACATAACACGAATAAAACACCTTTAGTATTCTCTCACAAATTCAGCAAACAGGTAACAGGTAAATGCAACAGCTAATCCATCTAGAAGAACTCAGAAATTGACATTTTAATCAAAAATCACCTTAAATCAGTGGTTCTCAAACTATTTCTGTCATTCCCCACTTTGAACAGGTGGGCCTTTTCAAACCCCACCTGTTCCTCATCGCTCCAATAAAATGGTAGGCCAAGCTTAAAATGGTCAAATGTATCGTTCTATAACAGGGGTCTCCAACCTTTTTTAGGATGAGAGCTACTTTCAAAAAATAAAACAAGTCGTGAGCTACTTTTACTCCCCTTTTTTTTGTTTTTTTTGCATTTTATATATTTAGCACATTTTAACATAATGATATGCTTACCTTTAACCTTTGTGTGCTGTTTGGGTCTGTGGGACTCGTTTTCAGTGTTTACTAAAAGAAAATGTATGCAATTATTTTAACCTGCTTTATTTGGGGGTGGACCTCACCTCCTTTTTTAAATGTTGAAGTTAAAAGCATCAATCGGGTGCACTTTGAGCTCAACATGAATTTATGGATACAGCTCTCAACACTCGTATGAAACATCTTTAGAATATGATCACAACCAATACTTTTTTTACTGTCCTATAGTACACATTGGAATGATTTCTTACTTTATTTTTTACAACTAGGCTATATTAAATAGATAAATGTGTGCTCTCTCTAGCTCTCTCGCTCTCTCTCTCTTTCTAGCTTGCTCACAGAGGCTGTGTGCTCCTCCGTGGCGATGACGGCTTGCGTTAAAAAATTATAATAAACATAGGCCTATTTGTAAAGTGGGACTTTCAACCAGGTTTTTTTTTTACTCTCCTATAGTACACATTGGAATGATTTCTTATTTTATGTTTTTACAACTAGGCTATATTAAATAGATAAAGGTGTGCTCTCTAGCTCTCTCTCTCTCTCTCTCTCTCTCTCTCTCTCTCTCTCTTTCCCGACTGCAACGCTGTTGTGTGTGTGTGTGTGTGTGTGTGTGTGTGTGTGTGTGTGTGTGTGTGTGTGTGTGTGTGTGTGTGTGTGTGTGCGTGCGTGCGTGCGTGTGTTTTTTATGAGCAGGGTCAGATTGGCCATCGGGAGATTCGGGACTTTTCCCGGTGGGCCGCTGCAGTTGGTGGGCTGCTGCTGCCTTCGGTGGGCCGCTGGCTCTGGCATAAGTGGGCCGTGGACTTTCATAGCGCCCCTGCGCCAGTACCGCATCCGCCGCTGCAAACACCCGCCGTTGCGAGGCTCCGGCGACTCCGGCGACTCCGTTGCAGCGATGCTGTGAAAGTCCACCGCCGTTGCGATTCTCCGGCTGTCACAGTCCACTACCGCCCGCGAGGACCCTGGTTCGATTCCCGCCTGAGGTCCAAAAATAAAATAATCTCCCGTTCATCGCGTCCATTCGCGACCCACCTATCACATCTCTGCGCCTCAGTGGGGCGCAGAGATGTGATAGGGGCTTTGAGAAACGCTGCCTTAAATCAACACAATAATAAAACACAAATTGGACTTAATGTGACAGAAATAGCCTTTTTCAGAAGATTATGTGTACAGACGTGACAATAGCCCCCTGTTGAGACCAAAATACTCAAAGTTCTACAAGACCCACTAATCTTTCCACGTCACACAGGCTGTCGAGGCAACTCAGTGCTGAGCCACAGAAACAACCCGTTGCTCTGGGCAGTCAATTAGAGCCGCATGATCAAACATGTCAAACCCCGCACAAGGTCCCAAGACAAAGCCAGAGCCATCTCCAGCATCTGTTGTTCATAGCAGGCCATCAGGGGCTCAATGGAATTTCTCCAGAATAGACATTTTTTTTAAAGAGGAAGCACTTTGACTACAAACAACATAGCTATGTAATACAAGGTAATGATATAAATGTCCCCGCTGGTACAACTGCACTAAAGTTGATTATTTTCCTAAAATTATTTTTTTTCCGAGTACGGAAATCAACATTTGCTAAATGCAGCAAGACAAACGGCTGCGAATCACATTAGTATTGATTTTTTTTATTTGACTATATAACTCAATACAATTGTTGTTGGGGTAAATATTGCCCATTATCAAACACCAATATTGCCAAATTAATGTGCACTTCAAACGACTTTTTCCCAGAAGGGATTGGTTGCATGCTTGACAGTAGAGGAACATGTGCCATTAGATAAAAATGTATAGAAAATATATCACTATAGGGTAAACACTCTCTAGGAATATTGCATTAAAATACCTGTGAGATTGTGGAAGACTTTGCTTTGGTTGCTTTTTTTGGATACATATACTTTATCTTTTGAATCAGAAATATTGTTGAATTTAAGTGTTTTTTTTTCTTCATTATTTACATTACATTACATGTCACTTGTTAGACACTTTGATCCAAAGCGACTTACATACTCAATACTGTGGGCAATCCCCACAGGAGCAATTTGGGGTGAAGTGTCTTGCCCAGGGACACAACGACATGCTGACTGCAGTGGGGTTTGAACCTGTGACCCCCTGATCCCAACACCAAGGCCCTATCCACTGCGCCACACGCCTCCCATTTTGCCACACCAAGTAGAGTAAATCCAACTCAAATGTAAAAAAAGTGCTCTCTTTTCAGTCTTGAATGGAAGGTTGCTAAAATACTGATTGTATGCAATGAAAATGAATAGTCACTAAATATTTAAGTGGGGAAAACAATGCATGTACAAAAATTGTTCATTTATATGTGTGCAAACCTCGCAGAAATGAAATTCTATTTTCTGCGAAGGAAGCTACTCAATGACAAATGTAGCTTCCTTAAGTACTTGAGTCAAAGTTAAACAATCACAAGTAACGTGAACAGTAATAACCTGCTTAGATGTGATGAGTCATAAAGTGAGGATAAGAAAAGAGAAGAAAGACAGACTCACCATGTCTGTATCCGACACCGGCCCGAAACTGGTCACGTAGATGTTTGTCCTCACTTCTGTCACACTCTCTGAGGGAACAGACAACAAGGAGCAGGGAAACATTACAGTGAAGTGTGTGTACAAAAAGCTTTGTTGCAGCTCCGTCTGTTAAGCTGATTGTTTGTGTACATGACGGTAAAGTCTGCCTGTTGGCATTTAACTAAGCGGCTTCACAAAAACTCCACCGTAATCAAGGGTTAGAGGAACACTTCATGCTAGATTTATGCATGCTCGGTGGAGAAATTGTGGACGGCTTAATACCTGATTCTCTCATTCTTTGTATCATCTTGTCAAAACCATGTCACAGATCGCAGGTTTTAGAATGTAACGCCGGACCAAGAACATTCGAAATCTCCTTAAAATGTACAAGCATTGCCAGACAGCATTGGTAATAATAATCCCAAGTATTCCAACAAGGAACTTCAGCTTCAATCTCGGGGTAAAATGGTGCTTTGAGCAACACAGATGCTTTTGAAAGCAAATTAGTAAAACTACCATTTGTCTGGCTCAAGCTAGCTTTGTCCAATACAGCATGAAATGTGCTCTTGGCAGGCCCAAGTGTGCATCTTTGGAGAGAAAACATCCCTTTTAACCCAAAAATTATTTTAGTTAGCCTGCCCCAAAAACATTTAACAGTCCCTACGGGCCTACTGGCTCGGGAGTAATATGCAGCAGTCAGCGTTAAATATGAGCGAGCCTGTGTGTGTGTTCTTTAATTCACATAATGGGCACACTTTGCTGCTATTACACCATTTTATGCACACATTATAATCTCTTTAGTCTATTGTAGTATGAATCCAGCATGAATGTTACCAGGCTTGTCTGCTCTGTATATTCCTATAGGGCCAGTGTAGTTCTTTAATCATAATTACATGTCTCGTTGCGTTACATAACAACTGCTTTTGTTCCGTCACGATGACTTATTAACTATTCTTGATACTGTAACGATGACCCAATTGATCATTATACTGTAAATTAGTCAGGACTTTTTAATATGATAATAATGAGCTGTGTAATAATTGTTTCCAAATACTTCGCAATTGATTTGAATATTGCATGTAGGAGGGCACAAAATGAAAGTCGTGACAGATCAAAATGTGCCCCCTTCAGTGGGCGCTGATTCAGCTTCTCAGGGCCAAATGTGTGAAGCAGCCTTTTGGGCCATTTGTGAGACAAATGGCTGCTCCCAGCGGTGCAACAACTACAGAGTGATGAGGCCTTTCTCCAAAAGTGAATGGATCCTCGACTCTAACTGTGTCCCAGATCTAACTGACCACACACAGGTGAAGTCTCCAATCCTCTAGCAAAGGGCCCCCTTGAGAGACAAGATCCACATCCACATTAATCATTGCTGTGACACAAATAGCTCTCACAAATGTGTGATTATCACAACACCCAGTCAGCAGTTTGCATGGCGGGGGAGGCAGAATGAGATGCCCCTGCTTCTGTTTACAACAATGCACCAGAGCATGGGGCAGAGCTAATAGATGCTGCTGAAAATGAATTTAAATGGGACTTTTTGCTCCAGCTTTCTATCCAGTGTGTTGGTCTGAGATTGGTCCCACATGACTGTTTCTCACTGGGAATGTGGTTGGTGGAGCAGGTGTGTAACCAACAGGAGGATGATTGGTAGCCTTGTCCATGGATGTGTAGAAGCTGTTGGCTTTGACTGCGTGTTTCGGCCATTCTTAGGAGGCAATCAACTTGTGTCTTTAAGCAGGTAGATGGACCGTGGATGTATGAAGGGAGCTGAATACAGCGTTGAAGGCGGGCCTGGTTGATTCCATTGAAAGTTGCTTAGTGGTGCTTGAAGGTAACGTGACCTGACTCTCGAGTATAAAAAGTAACCGAATTATCCGGGCCCATAAAGCTTGCGCACTTGCGTTTTCGTTAAGCCCCGCCTCTGATTGGCTCTGTCACATCAACGACATGTCTGTCTCGGTTAAGTCGTATAAATAAAGAGAGAAACAAACACTGGCTTTTTGAGCATTTTACAACTTTTTGGACCTAATGATTTAAATAAGAAAAATAATCAATATATAATTGATTACAAACTGATTTACAGACATCAGTTTCCCAATGTAAGTCAATGAGAAAAAGTGTTTGTCTCTTAATGTGACCTTGCTATTTGTATTTCCATCTTTAATCTACATGGTCCTTTTGCTGTTCTAACGATGTCAATTTCCCTACTTTGAAACAAAGGAAGGATTTCTGATTTGAATAGATCAATTTGCAACTGAAATGCGATCATGCTGTCCTGCTACTCCAGGGTTTGGCTCATGTTATATCAACTAGAGTTAGTTTTTTTAAAGTATTGCTTCCATTATACAGACCCCACAGTTGGTTAGTTTGCGGAATAATAACAATAAACCTTATTTATACAGAACTTTACAGAAAGAGCAGCATCCGAAGAGCCTCACAGTTAATAATAAAAGGAATAAAAACACACAGCATGAAAACACACAAACAAAGAAATACCATAAAACACCTGCTTATATAAGTTTTAGCTGACCTCAGTGTGTAACATAAATTAAAGTGAACACGTCTAATCATAATTGAATCTCAAATGCTCTGCTGTGAAATGAATAAAGTGTCATATTTCAACCAAGCTGAATTATTCCAGTCCTCTCGTACCAGTGTTAGTGGCTCAGTGAGAATTTCCTGGAAATAAAAAGACACATAATGCAAGCCTCTCTCTTCTTGTGGTTGCTCCTGTGTTTCCACTGGCCTTTGTAAGTCTCTGGGGTCTGGATGGAAGCCTGCTATGTTTCAGGCTTGTACATTCAGCTGCTGCTCTACAAAGGGAAACATTCATGATTGAAAGCCCTGAATGGCCAAGGCTTCAGCAGCTCCTGCCCCTTGGAGAAGTGAACCTCGGCACAGAGGCAGAGTCTGACATTAACGTCTTGTGGTTCCTCTCTGCGGTTGCTGTCATGGAGTCCAGGTCATCCAGCCTGGTGGCTCCGCAGCCTGATAGCCTCGCTCGTGGCTCCAGCATTAAGCAGCAGAGCAGAAAATGACCATTCCAGCTGGCTGGCTGAAAGATGGCAAAGCCAGCTTGAGCATGTGGACTAACTACTATGCAGTTCGTTATCCTGGGGGTGCAATGGATGAAATGGCATCAATTAGAGGGATTTCCACTGACATGTGCTTATTTGCCATTCGGGCATGATTAAACAAAGACTCCCAACAAAGGCCAAACATGTTCTGCACAAAGTGAACTGACAGGTCTGTTTGCAGCAGCGTTTATCAAAGATCAAAGTGTATATGACTTGTAGTGAGAGATGCACAATTTCATGTGTCCTCCCCAATCATCAATTTTCTTTTTTCCAAGAGCTAAAACAGTGACGCAGTGTGTGATTTATCCATCCTGTAGTGTTGCTCACCTCCCAGCCCTGGACGTAGCCTGTTGTCGTATCCATCCAAAAGCCGATCTAGGATCCGGGTGAAAATGGTGATATTGTCTCTACTATCATCAGGCAACGGCTCTCTGTGCCCAACCACTGCCCTGCGGGAAACAAAGGAGACAGAAGGGTGGAGTGAAAAGATGGAAATCATATAAAGTGTAATAAAAACTTTAATATAAAAGCGGATATATTGTTCCACTGGAGCACCGGGGAAATTGCAAACATTCAGTGTCTCTGCTGTTTATTTGTATCAGCCTTTAAAAAATGGATCTAAATTCTAAAAGTAAACACACAGGTCTAAATGTCAAACAAAAAGATATGTCAAGGATTTGTGTATTAAAACACAACATACAGTATACCAACTGTCAGTATAAGATGAGAATGAACTATAGTACAATTATCATACAGACCATGATCCAAATTGTATTTTTCTTTGGAAATGTGAACACATTTTGACACAATATACATTCAACATTATCCAAAACTGTAAACATCAGCTATTCCATTTTAGAACTTCTAATGTAGTCTTATTTCACCTTCCTTTTTTTTGTATATACAGTATATATCAAATATTTCAATCTCATGCAAGTGATGCGCCTCAGGTTTGAATTATTATTTGGAAAACAACTACTGGTTGTATTTGTTCTTTTCATTTCTTCTTTACACAGTGGAACTCGCGTATTTACAAAAATAACAGTACATTTATGATAATTAATTCTTCCCCAAGAAGGAGCATTTTGTTAGAAGATTCATCTGATGCTATCAGCCACTAGTTATTCATTTACTCGGCCCACAATCCCCAGCAGAACAATAATGTTGTGAGATGAAAAGGCCACTATACTGTAGGTGGAACACTGATGAGTTAATGAGTAGCTTCTTTAATTAAACTGAAATCCCCGAGGAGCTGACCTATAATATCCAAGTAATCCCCATCAACAAGCAGTCCGTATCCTGATGCACTATCAGACACAGAACTGGGCTGCTCGGCAAAGAGGAAGCTTTAAGGAATTATGTGCTTGAAGAGTAACCCGAATTCTCCCTGATTGTTGCTCTTAAGTAGGCCTGCACTCGCAACAGCAAATGTGTCTTTACTAGGCCTCTTCAAATGGCTTTCTGTGGCTTAATCTCTCCTATAATACCAACTAGACATAACAGTCCATCTGAGCTACAACCACAACCTCAGATCACTACTTAAAATGTATGCTATTGTACTTATCATCATCACTTTGGGGTTCAAAATGACACTTATGCATACTCTGAAAAGCAAACATCAATTTCAGCCATTTTGGCAAATGGCTATTACACAGGGCTATGTGGGGGCATTGTAATGCAGCCCATGTAGTACACTTCAACACATCAGGATGTCAAGATTTATGAAGTCTAAAAAAAGATAGGTACGTTTTTATTGATCCAGTGGCATATGCAGCGGTCTTTATTGGACATGAATATTGACCCCTGCATATGTCATTGCGCCAGGAGCTTTCTGTGGAGGAGAATACAGAGGGTTAAGATAAATTGCCTTTCATCTCTACCACTGAGCCACAGCACAGGCGGCCCCCAAGGGTTTCATCTTCTACCCTTACACAAACCACTTCATAGCTAAGCGCCATTCTTAAATATGGCGCTTACCATAATTGGTCTCAAAACCAACAACAACCAAGTCCAGTAGCGTGAGCAGGTAGTCTAAACAGCCACTTGGTGCCTTCATCACAACCTCCAGCTCGAAACATAAAAAACACAAGGACTCATTATAGACTTCATGCTCGGCCCCCTCCCCAAAACCCCTTTACATGTCTCAGGAGAACCCATAACCATCACTGACTTATTCAAATTGATGGCATAGATATCGACAACAGCCTCGCATGTAACATCATTACACACCCAACACTATAAAAGCCCAACAAACACTGTTTTACCAATTTAATACAAAAACGTAAAGTAAAATAAGACTCTTCTTTCAGTTTTACCATCATCGAGAGCACCTCATCCATAACAGTTACAGCACAGTCTGCCGCGCATACTCAATAAATCATTCAATATAATTACCCCTACAATCAGTTGAATCCCTTTTATTACAAACTCGTTCTCAAAAAACACCAAGCATTTATTTTTCCCCCACTGCAATAAGAATTATTACAACTTCTCTCATTCTGTGACCAATAAAATGCACCTAAAATCTGTGTATCAATCTTGAAATACTGTGTGAATTTCCTCTTGTGGTAATATGTAAACAATGTGCATTATGACTAATTGAAAAGCTGCTACCCATGCCAACCACATCAAGGAAATAACAACGGCGGTTCGACCACCTTTTGCCTTCAGAACTGCCCCTAATTATTTGTGCCATAGAATCAAAAAGATGCTGGAAACGTTCCTCAGAGATTTTTGTCCATATTGACATGACAGCATCACACAGTTGCAGCAGATTTGTCGGCTGCACGTCCATGATGCCAATCGCTTGTTCCCAAGCATCCCGAAAGCGCTCTGAAGGATTGAGATCTGGTGACTGTGGAGGCCATTTTAGTACAATAACTCATTGTCATGTTTAATATACCAGTTCAGGATGATTTGAGCTTTGTGACATGGTGCGTTATCCTTCTGGAAGTAGCCATCAGAAGATAGGTACACTGTGATCATAAGGGGATGGACATGGTCAGCAACAATACTCAGGTTGGTTGTGGCGTTTAAACAATGTTNTTAGAACAAACTCCACACAGCTCAGTGAAATGTTGACTTTATTTGATCATTTCAGTAAAAACTAACGTTCATATTTCTCTTTTTGATTATAATACTGATGAACGTTCAAAACAAAGCACTTTGGCAACTTACCTCATACGTTTTAAAAAGCTTAATAAGCACCATAACTTTCATGATATCATTTCTCCATCATAATCGTTTGTGTCCGTGAACGGCCGACTGTTGTGTGACGCTAATGCTGCGGCTGCAAGGCATTGTGGGAAAGCATTTTCTCCTCTCCTTTCGGTAAGGGAGGTCCAGTGGTTCCTAAGCTAAAGGAGGTTATAAAGGAAGTTTGAAACCTCCTTTCTATCATCTAGAGAATTCGAACGGCACTTATCATGGCTGCCACTGAGGGACTTCCGGGTCATTTCACTCGGTTAGGAAGGTTCCTAAGCTGAATGGTCTATTTGACTGCAGCCAGGGCCTGAAATGAAAGAGGTAAGTACAAAATAAAACAGGAAATGACAGACAAAATACATAAACATAACTAACACATTTGATGAGACACAACAAAATTCAAAAAAAGTATAGCTGAGGTTGATGGGAATGTTACATATTTAGTGCAGGCAATTAATCGTAGTATGTGTTTTAAACTGATGATGGTTTAAGATTAAAAAGTGAAGGGATCATGAAGCAGATTAGAAGTAATCCTGTATGGAACATGATTTCATGGAAATCCATACTGTATATACATTCATTAAAGACATCCCATTCGTCTGTAGTTAAGATAGACAATTACAACTGCACTGATTATCTACATTTGCAAAAGCTTGTTCAAGTGCTTTCCCATATTACATAAGTTCCAGCTTTTACAAATCCTCCGAAAAGAGAAAAGTTATTTTGAAGCTCCTCTCAAATCCTGGAACCAAAGTGGATGAAAGTAGTAACATGAGCAAGTTCGTCCTAGATGAACAAATATAGATGTGACAGTTGTCCCTAGAGTAAGCCAAAGCTACTGTACGTTAGCAGCTATCACATCCCCCCTCAGTTTCTCCCTGGTACATATTATCTGCACAAGGCAGGCACGTGGAAGGCTAAAGTGAGAAGCAAACAAAGACAAATCAGTCATATTGTGAAGGCTTTGAATGTTACAAGGCATCCATTGGTAAGAGACAATATGCTGCATAATGTGCCGCTGCATAACATTATCAATATATTGTTGGTAGACTAGGAGAGATAATGAGTGGGAGGACCTGGTGAGGAAGATTAGTTGTGTTGTAAAGGTTAGCTCATGCATGAATTCAAGCTCTGAATTGACTATTTATTAATCAAGAATGTGCTAATTAGAAACCCCCTCCCCTGTGCCTTTTCCCTCATTGTGAGATTTACATGACAGGAAGACTAAATTAAATATTTGTTGCGACACATATAATAAATAAACCAGTGCCCCTTAAAACCACAGTCAAGAAAAAAGTCATCAGCTTCCAATATATCTTCTTCACAAAGCTCCTAGCAGCCTCACTAATCCCTTCCTTTCGATTTCGGTCGCCCCCGGCGCGCAGCAGGAAGACAGTTCAGCGAGTGCGCCGTCTGGGCACTTTAGTGGTGGATGGATATCAGGATTCTTATCAGTCATCCACGGCTCACACATCGCTCCAGAGGGGGTGACGCACATTCAGAGAGATGATGTGGTTAGGGGGGAGGATGCCAAGGCATTTCAGGGGGTGCCCACTTTGAATTCAAGATGCATTAAGCAGACAAATGTTTGCTGGGCTGCGAGTGAATCAGAGTTAGTTTACCCCTCAGAGTTCAACAATATTCATCTTTCAAAAATAAACTAAGAAGTCCTACATTTATTAAGAATTGCACTTCAATAAGCATGTCAAAATTAAGCTTTGTACAGATAAGGAGTGAAAAGGTAAGCTGTTATATTACCAATAATCGAAATCACCAGAATCTCCAAACCAACTGTCAGTGAGTGTGTTGTGATATGTATGCTTGCTGCTAATGAATTCCAATATAACATATTTAAATATCTGTTTTTTTCCTGATGGTATGACTAGGTGGCTAAAGTTTTTGCTAGTCACTATTGAGAAATAAAGATGCTAAGTGGGTCTGACAGGTTTGTAAATCTGTTGAGAAAGTCACAAAGTTAGCGGCAGATCAAGAAATCCGATATTCGAGACTGGTTGCCGATTGACCGGTGCATCTCTTGTTCCTTCTCACAGAGCTTAAGTTATTTTCAACAAAGCCTTATCTTGTTTGGCCATGTAGGTCAAAGCTTATGGTATCCTTCCACCTCCTGGCAAAAATCCAACCAATAAACCAATTGCTATCCTATCAACTAAAACTGCCTAAGCCCATTAGCTACCACTGAAGATTGCTTTCTCAATGTCCCATTCACCGCCCCGACATCCTCCTT